GACTCTGGAGGGAAACAAGAAGCTGACAGTCAGGAAAACTACTGAGGTGGAGCTCAGATTTGGGAATTCCGGAAATATTAATTAAAATGTAACCCAGCCTCATCAGCTCTCAGAAGCTAAGCAGGGTCAGCCCTGGCTAGCGTTTGGATGGATGATCACCAAGGAATATCACTACACAGAAGCAGGCAATGGTAAACCATCTCTGAACGTCTCTTGCCTTGAAAACCCCATGGGGTCACCATAAGTCGGCTGCAACTTGACATTACAAAAGTATTTCATTCCACTCTAAGGTTTGTGATTACACGTGCAAAGCTCTGATTTCAATCACAGGTACGGGCTTTCCAAGCTGGGACCTGTCATTCCAGTCACAGAACATTTCTGTGATTTCCAGTCTCAGAGAAATGATTCTGTTCCTAGAGACCATCATTCCACTCTGGAGCCTCTCATTCCAGATAGTTGAGGAGGAGGAGAGTTGGATTTATACTCCACTCTTCACTCGTAGACTCATCGTGGCTTACAATCTCCTTCCCTTCCTCTCCCCACAACAGACATCCTGTGAGGTAGGAAACTGCTCTTGAGAGAACAACTCAGAGAACTGTGACTGACCCAAGGTCACTCAGCTAGCTGCATGTGGAGGAGTGGGCAATCAAACCCAGTTCTCCTGATTAGAGTCCACTGCTCTTAACCAATGCTCCCTCTAAGCTGTGGAGTGGTGTGAGCAAAAATTCTACTTTGTGAGCTACTGGCATTAAGTTGTGAGCGAGCGATTTGGCTACTGCGTGAATTAGTTTGCTCTGGAGCCCTCCTTCCTGAGCAAAGACAAAAATGTGTGAGCTGGAGGCTGAAAAACTGTGAGCTAGCTCACACTAACTCAGCTTAGAGGGAACACTGCTCTTAACCACTACAAGCTGGGGAGAGGCAGGGAGCAGTAGAGGGGAACTGGAAAGGAGGTGATCCCTCCATCACCTTCAGCTGATTCCTCCAGATTTCCTCCCATACTCCAGAAGCTACCATTGCAAGTGGGCCCACCTGCAGCTCTCATTGTTCAGTGTCAGCTAGGCCTCTTTCGGTCCTGGCTGCCATGGGAATGGGGGGAGGCTATGGAATGTTGAGTTTCATTTCTGCGGTGACTTCAGTGTTTCTATTATCTCTCTGTAACCCACCTAAGCCTACCCACAATGCCAGTAAAAACAAACTTCTTTCCTATGAAAGTAGCCTTTTCACTAAATGTTTTAGTTTTGTAAGACAGAAGGGGTATGATGTAAGAATCTGGAAACTGCAGTATTTCAGTTTATTATGGTTATTATTTATTCATTTGGAGTATCTCTATGCCATCTCTTCAGAGTTCTGCCCAAGTGGGTTTACAATTAAACAGTGTAATATAAAACAGTAAACCATTAAAATGCTTTAGAAAAGAGCAAGAGCCCAGTAGTACCTTGAAGACTAACAAAATTTGTGGCAGGGTATGAGCTTTTGTGAGTCACTGCTCACTTCTTCAGATTAAAATGCTGGTAAGATAAAATGCCTAAATAAATGTCTGGGGGAAAAGATGTGTTTTGGACTGGAGCCTAAAGTAAAGTAGGTGCCAGGTGAGCCTCAAGGGGGGACTGCATTCAGAGGTGAGTGTCACTGCAGAAAATGCCTTGTCTCTAATTTCCACTGGCCTCACCTCTGAAAGCAGGAGCACAGAGTGCAGAGCTTGAGAGGCACATGTGAACTGGCAGGCTTGACAGTATGGGAGGAAATGGTCCTTCAAAATAAAATGTGATGAGCTTCTGGTGGGTGGATAGGCGATGGCGGTCGCTCTCCTCAGAGCTCGAGGAGGCGACTAGCACACCTTCATCTTGGAAGGGTGCCACCTCAAGTGGCACTCCCACGGAACCCTTGCGGTGGGTTCCAAGCCGGAGGGCTTTTGAAGGTAAGCCTCTTCGACAGCTCGAAGCCATGGAATAGAGGCTTCCCTCCGCCCTGATGGTCCAGCCGATGGGTGACCTATGGGTGTAAGCCAATCTGACCGGGACAAGCGGAGGAGATCAAGCGGAATAGCGATGGAAGAGAGCGAGGTCAGAAGTGACCAACAATGAACGTGAGTGATAGATAAATGGACTGTTTTTGTAAAGCGAAGGCCCCCCCCATGGAGAAAGCGGAGTGCAGGGAGGGATGCCTCCTGAACAATTGAATAGATCAAAGAAGCGAAGGGGGGAGAAACAGCGTTTCACTTTGAGAGACTTACTTGAGCTTGGATAGCGAAACGGCTAGACTTTCGAGCTCTGAAACAGAGGTATTGAACTGTAAACAAAGAGAGAACATGGCGGTTCCATGAGGGAAAATAAAACTGAAAGGGAGCCAAAGTCGAAGATTGGAAGAGGGAGCAGACGTCATGAAGACGTTAG